ATCCACATGACATGCTTGAAGTCTGTAAGTCAATGATAAGTGGATATTATAATCCTAGTTTTTGTATAGGGAGGGTTCCCCCCTCCTTCCCTTTAGTAAATCCTGAAGGAGAATAAAGAAAAAGCAGCAGTGTTAAATCTGTATGTTCTACTCAAAAATAGGATGAAGGACTGAATGTCTGTGTTTATACATATATATATATGCAGAAAGCCTACAATCAAGATAGCAAAGCAAAAGTTGGCGACCCACTAATGGTGTTTAAACAACAAAAACATCTTGGAGCTTTTCACTTTTTATGTCACCTGAGATAAAAGTTCTATTAAAAAAAAAAAAGCAACACTGTGGATACGGAGGAGGTTAGACCACTGTATCAAGTTGACACCTAATAGCAGAATACGAATAAAATACATTAGGTCAAAATACTGAGCTAGTTTTCCAACCTTTACAAAAAAATTCCATGTAGTTGCCAAAGTTATGAGTGGTCATTATCCCCCGTTAATGTTTTTGTCCAGAATGGGGTGGGTCTGGGAACTCAGTGACCTGAACATTGCCTTCCATGACATTTCACTAATAATGAGCATAGGTGCACTTGGGAAATAGTCTCTTAAAAATACTAGCCCTTTACTGCAATTCTTGTTCGTGCATCAGGACAGAGGTTTGGGTTTGACATGTAGTTGTCATTTATATGTCTGTTCCTCTGTGTACACAGAAATAAATAAGCACACATATGCACATATATGCACATTTTTGTCTACATGTGTGTCATCAATGACTGCAGTCTAAGGCTGCTTACCTGTCACCTACAATGACCTCACTAACAAACCATTATGTTCGCTGTGTGTTTCATTGATTCACCAGCATTCACTGTGCATGTCAGATGTCAAACACTGTGCCAAACAGCAGAAATACAAAGGTTAATGAAACATGGGCTCTCTAGCCCAAGATCTGGTATAGCAACAGACATATCAATAGATTAAACTCATTATAAGTTATACAACTATTTAAATTGGGTGTATATAAAAGAAACCCCAAAGTAATAATGGCTTAAGCACATAAAGGATTTACTCTCTCACAAAAAAAAAAAAAAAAAAGTCAAGGTGTGATTGGTCTAAGTGAGGTGAAAAGAACCAGGCTCTCTCTTTCTGTTCTGCCCTCCTACTGCAAGGGTTTCATTCTCAGGATTGTCTCACTTTTCAAAATAGCACCTGGAGCCAACAGAAAGGAAAGAGAGTAGAGGGCAGCTGGGGTCATCTAAATCAGCTTCTTTTAAGTAGTCTTCCTAGAAGTCCCACACAACCCTTCCACTTTTATTCCACTAATTACAAGTTGGTCACAAAGCCAATGAAAAATTGTATTCATTTAATAGGCCATACTGCCACCCCAAATAAAATTGGAGTTCTGTTATTGAGAAAAATAGGGAAGATGGAAGTTGGGTGGCAACCAGTAATCTCTGCCACATGGAGTTATGAACAAATGGCTGAGGAAACATAGAGTAATAAAGCCATTAACTCTGGAATCTAGAAAAGGCTTGAGGAGGAGACAATTTGGATTTGAAGGATGAATAGGAGTTTGCTAAGTAAAGAATTGGGGAAGGGCACTTTAGGCAGAAATAGTAGTATATGCAAAGGCACAGAGAGCTCTGTCATTACTACTGCCAAATAAACCCATTTCTGTATTTCTGTTTTTTCTTTGTTATTAATAATGGCTCTCAACAGTTGAACTAATTTTTAAATTTTTTTTTAAAGATTTTATTTATTTATTTGACAGAGAGAGACAGTGAGAGCAGGAACACAAGCAGGGGGAATGGGAGAGGGAGAAGCAGGCCTCCCGCTGAGCAGGGAGCCCGATGTGGGACTCGATCCCAGGACCCTGGGATCACGACCCGAGCCGAAGGCAGACGCTTAACGACTGAGCCACCCAGGCACCCTGAACTAATTTTTAATTAATCTATTATTCCACATCAACAGATCGAGACAGACTGAGATATGTCAATAACAATTTTCTTGATATAACTGCAAACAGTTTTCTGCTTGGACCAAAATAAGAACATTTTATCTGATGATAAAGTATTCCCATGTTTTAAAAATAATTGAGTTGGAATATTTTGGCACCTTAAAAAGGAATTGATACAAAGGGGGGAAAGTGTGTCAGGGAGATATTTGTCTTTTCAATTCTGAAGTTAAACAAAGCCCAGTTAGAACTCACTTGGTTCATATCCTGAGATCCCTAAACTTACATCAAGGGCACTAAGTTGGTGGTCTGGTCAAGTTAGCCTTAAAGTATGTCACTTTCTATTTAGCTGTTCCTAATAGATTGTTACTTTGGATCTGTGAAGTTGGATTGTTCTTTTCGTAAAATGGCTTTGGAGCCGTAAGAAATCTTCAGGATTAGAGAGATTTTTTCAGGGTAATCTCCTATTTGGCTTCTTTAGAGACATCAGAGACCATTAAGAATTTTCCAGAGAAAGTTAAATCCTTTGAGAAATCTGAAATTTCTTTAATTTAAGGAATAAACCATAGTTATATTTGAGACACCTGTGAGTGTAAATTTCCATGCCCCCTGCCTATCACCCTTCCATAGTGCTGAGTATCTTGTAAGATTAAGGTCATCTCTTTCCAACCCCAAAGAACAACAGCTGAGTCAGTGATTCTTTGAATACTGCCGAAATTAGGACTGCCATGTTGTGTTTGTTTTTTTTTTTCCAAAGGATTTGACCGTACTAAGGCAATCATATGATTTAGTCTTCTGACATTGTTTTCATTTTTGTTTTTTGCCAACTTTGGTTTTGGGTTACTTTCTAAGTCGCTGGTATCTGCACAAGACTAAAATGTGTAGTACAACTCACAGCAACATCTCCCTTTGTCTAGTTAACTCTGGAACCTCATTCATAACTCAAAAGACTCTTCTTCAGGAAAGTCTTCTCTGGCCTCACTAACCAGATCAAATTCTCCATATTTTCTGTTCTCAGAGTATCATGTATCTGTGTTTTATAGTTTGTATCATGATCACCATTTTACATTTATTGTGTGTGATGATTTGAATAATATGTGCCTCCACTACTAGACTCTAAGTCCCATGAGGGTAGGCCCTTATGTACTTAAACTCACCTTTGGATTCTGCTCCTAGCACAGTGCCTGGCCCATAGCAGATCTTGATCATTGTTGGCTAAATGATTAAATGATTTTTTTGGTGATGGTGGCAGATAAGTTACTTCTGCACGCCCATTTCACACTGTGTTCAGAATACGAGTGAATATGGAATTACTCAGCTCCTATGTGGATTCATCTACAGATAAAAATTTTGAAAATAATCTTACTCCAGCTCCATAGAAGTGCATCAGTGAAGTCTTAAGCCAGTATGTGTTGGCTCTGCAAGGATGAAGCTTGGGTGAATTCCAAATTGGCTTCACTGCAGCCTGTGAACATATTGGGGTGAATTGCAGCTTGACCACAATGAACCCCTAAGGACAGAACCAGCCCAACTTGCTCCCCATTTAAGAGCTGGGCACTATGTTTTCTTGACATCTTTGTATTTCAAAAAATTGTACAATCGTTGAAGGAATTACTGCTTTGTCATTTATTTTAAAAGATGCCTGTATGCCTGTGTATAAAAAAAATACATATTACCACATTTAAAAATACGGCAAATATATAATGCAATGCCAAATAATTGTATTTTTCAAACCTTTGCCTAAACACGTGTTTGCAATTATTAATTAAAAGTACAAAAAGGTAAATCAAGCCTCAAAGAAAGGTCATATTAACTGGATTTTTGAAAGACAATGAATTGTGGGGACTTTCTGGAAAGAAGCCCCTTCAAATATCACTACAGTTCTCATTTTATTTTTATCAAAGACAGTAGTGGAAGTCATTTGGAAGTAGAATAGGTCTGTTGATACTAGATCTAACTAGAACTATAGAAGTACAACCTGATCTAGTTTGGATTTGAATTTTTTTTTAACTTGAAAAAGTTAAAAGTAAGTAAGAAAAAGAAAGAGTAAAAGTACAAATGAGTTTGCCCACATACGTGATAAGTGCTTGTGATTTTGTTAAGCCTGATTTGGACCAAGCATAAATGTTTTGTTAGATGTGCTTACAACTCAGCTACTTATTAGCAAAGTGACGTTGGCCAGATTCATGGCCTCAGCTATAAAATGGAGATATCTTACATGATGGTTCTCAGAATTAATGAGCTATCTCTATTGCACCTGGCAGGACATAGGCAGGCTAAGAGAGCCTCGGTATTAGTTATCTCTGCTGCCCTCCCCATCATCCGGCCCCCCCCCCCCCCATGCCTACATACAATAATCTTGCTTTTGTCAGCTCATTCTGTGATTGTTTCTCTTTTCTCAGTTCAAGTGCTAGCTAGAAAAGGAACCATTTTCATTATCATTCAGCAGCCCCGGTGGTTCAGTGGTAGAATTCTCGCCTGCCGTTATCGTTGAGCACATTTCTGTTGAGCGCTTACAGTTTGCCAAGCACAATACTAGTTGCTCGGAATACATCAATGGACCTAACATACCAAACCCTTTACCCTACACAGCTTATATCAAAGGAACAATACGGAACATGAAAATAATCCACTTTCATGGATTTTTCCATGAAATTTTTCCTTTCATGATTGTATTTTTATAATTGCAGTGAATCATAATTATTGACGCTGGGAACAATTTTTCAGTTGGGTCTCTATAATATCAGTAGGTCAGGTTCTTCCTCTCTCCCTTACCTTCTCCTTTGCCTGCCTCCATCCTCTCTCACTCTCCCTCTCTCCCCCAATCTGCTTTCTGTTTACATATTTGAACTGTAAAAACATCTTTGTCTATGCTGTTTTTGTTTCTTCCTTAGCTTGATTGAAATTCCAGCCGAATTCATTACCCTCTATGGGAAGCATGTTTTATGCTTCCTCAGAAATGAAGGGAGGGTCATTGAGTGGTGATGGGCCTCACAGTGGATCCCTGCAGTAGGCACCTTGTTGAATTCCACACCTCTCTTTCCTATTAGATTGTCGGCTGTGATCACCAGCTGGGAAGCACCATCAAGGAGGATAACTGTGGAGTCTGCAACGGGGACGGTTCCACCTGCCGCCTGGTCCGAGGGCAGTATAAATCCCAGCTCTCCGCAACCACATGTAAGACACTGCAGAGAGGGGGCACTTCGGGGGTTTGTGGGCTAATTAACCTCTTCTGGTTTTGTGCTGGCTCCCCTCAGCAGCTAGGAATAAGGCCACCACCAAAATGAAGATGAATCTGACCGTATTGTAGAAAGCTTCATGTTCCTGCTTTGTGTATTAGTTTAGTTAGAACAAGTCAGGTAACCCATTGCAACCCCGAGAAGGAAACCTTTCTTTTGTGGTGCAGCAGGAGTGAAGTACACTTGGATCAAAATAGACTCCATTTACAAACCTAGACATGCTGCCCAACACGAGGACAGACTGCACCCAAGCCTCTGCCTGACACGTAATGTGATGCGCCGGATGGGATATAGCAGGGCGAATGTGTAAATCTAAACAAATTCACTCCTACCACCATGAAATCATGCTATCTTCATTTACAAAATGACCTTTGATTGGTGCGGATCACAGCTTCTTTCAGAATTAATATCAGACAGTGATTATATGAAGCCATTTATTGACTTATGTCTTAATCTCTCTATACTAGCACAATAAATATATGCTCACTATGCAGTTATGTGCTGGGAACTTTGCATGATCATCTCATTTTATCCTGATAACAACCTCATAGCAAGGCACTGTTTATCCTTATGTTATGAATAAGATAGCTGAAGCTGAGACAGATCATGTGACTTGCTCAGAGTCACACAGCTCTAAAATAGGAGAGCCAAGATTCAAGCCCAGAGTCCAATTTCATTGCCTAAGCACTTACTCATTCCTCTGGACTGTCCCACAACCCTGCGGATTATTTCCATGGTGGGACATTTAAAGCAATTAGATGGATCAAGACAAGGTACCTCAGATTTCTGCCTGACTGGGTCTTGCTAGGGTAGATGGCACTAGATGCTGTCTAGTGATGCCTAAGACAACCATGCAGTCACACAATGACCCAGATCATTTTACAAAACACTGTCCTCTATGACAATCACTGCTATAGGTGCTGCATCAGAAAAAGATAGAAATAAGGCAATTCTTGTACTCAAAGACATACCCTTTCAGAATAATTTGACCTTGCTCAGTAGACTGTCTCCAAATTTTGCCATTATCCAGAACCGTTCAATAGATCTTTGATTGAGTATCTTTGCACATGTCTCCCCTGGCTTGGGAACTAAGAACGAATTCTTTTACTGAATGTGGTTTTGTTCTATTTGTTGACTAGCTGGGAAAAAACAATTGACTTTGTCAGGGTCTGTGATTTTAAATGGACTTGTAGGTCAAGAAAAAAACAGTGGACATTAAAGAACTATTCCCAGAAGTCAGAAAAAGGCAGTTTGCCCAAAGGACTAGGCTCTAGGGAAGAAGAGGTGGTAGCAAGAAAGGCTAGGGACTTTTAAACACAAGAAACACTGGAGGTACCAGCTCAGGGAACTCTACATGCTAACACCCCTGCTGGCAGTGAAAAATGTGAATCTGTGGGGGAAAAAGACTCTGGCAGAGAGAATGAAGGATGAGGTAAGTTAGACATTGATATAGTACATTCAGGTGAGACTTTTTTTTCTTTCATGTGTTGGTAGCTTCTGCTATACGATGACAAATTAAAGAATTTGGAAGATGAAAACCAGAGGATAGAGGCATAATTCTTTTGTAAATCTCTGAGGTCATGGTGGGATATTTGGGAGGGGGGAAGTTACATTTAAAAAGTCACTTTTATAGAACACTTTAAGAAATCTTGGAAGAGCTCAGCTCTTTCTAATTATTTATGTCATGTAATTGAATCAATGCTCATTATCTAGGAATCTAGGAATTTCTGCTAGGCACAGAAAAAGGAGATGGCTTGCTTTTGTGCAGTAACTGCTTTATAGCAGGCTTAGGGGTAGGGGATCCTTCCCCCATTCCCACTCATGCCCTCTCCCTGAACAATCTGCCTGGATCAGTATGAGGGGATCATCAGGGACCTCTGGGGCCTCAATCACTGGAATAATGAGAAGCTCTGAAAGAACAAACTGAAGCGAATTAAGAGCCATAAGTCATCCCCAGATCTGCAAATAGATATTTCAATGAAAAGTGCTCTATTCAAGACAGAGAGTAGGTAAGTTATACAATACACAGCCTGATGATTATCCATAATGACAAAATGCAATTGATTCATTTACCTTAGCACTGATGATGCCTCGTGACAAAATGATTTATATCAATAAAGCCCAACCCAACATATGCATGCACCTCACCACAATCTATAGCAGATGCTGAACAAACTGCCTCGTTTGTGTTTTCTCCACCCCAGAAGAACCTTCCACCCTATATTTACAGACTGCACAATGACTCACAGGCAGGGAAGATTAGACCACTCTACGGGGCCTATGGTGCTGGCCAGGTGAGCAGCGCTCCACCCGTGAAGGCCTGGTGGACCTGGGCCAGCTCGCTCCTCTCTGCTCTGCCAAAAGGCACTGTAAGCCAGCCACATGCTCTTTGCGAACTCCTAGTGCTCGGATTCCCCACATTGAACTCATTTTCTTCTGAACTGATATCCAAGATTTTTTTTTTAATGTTATCAAGCCTTGGGGGAACAAAGAGAAAATAGAAGAGTGGAGAAAGACCATGGCGGGAAGTGCCAGAAGGAAAAAGAGAAGTTGGAGAAATTTATCCAATGGCTGCCATTTGCTGGCAAACAAAAAAGAAACCATCTTTGTATCAAAAAACAGTGTAATTGCCTAATACAAATACAGACAAGAAAGAGAGCTAGATCAAGGCACATTTTCCCCCTTTTTTAAAGGAAAAGGCTGTCCCCTGATAGCATTCAATCTTTCCATTTTTCCTGGTCACTTCTTTTCAACTTCCCCAGCCCAACAACAACAAGAAAAGAATAAATTTAACTAACAATAACTTTTGATTCTTGAAATTAAAGGCTCGCTTTCTTGCAGATTGGCTTGTACTCTATTACATATTTTCCAATATATGCAATATACTTAGAACTACAGCCAGTCTATTTGCTATCAATTTAATGTCTCCAGCTTTGCAAACCTCTCATATGAATTTGTGTGTTTTGAAATCACCTGGATATCCCAAAACTCCTGAGGGACAGACAGGCAAAAAAAACAGATAAAACAAAAAACTAAATAAAACGTATTGCCATAGGGTGGTAGGAATCTTGGGAAAAAGTAAAGCAGGAAAAAAGAATAGGAGATAGGGCTGGCCTGCCAGCCAAGGGTGTTACAGGGGGTTGCAATACTAAATAGATTGGTAAGGAAAGGATTCACTAATAAGATAGCATCTGAACTAGGATCCAAGGTTACCTTACAAAAGTCAAGGGAAAGAGAATTCCAGTCATAGAGAAAGGCAAGTGCAAAGGCCCTGAGGTAAACACAATCTCGACATATTTCTTGAAGTGCAAAGAAGCTAATGTGACTTGAAGTCAGTTTAAATAAGCCTACTGGGAATGATGAAGGCAGGAGGGTTGCGAGGTGGGGTGAAGAATGATTTTGTAAGGATTTTGGCTTTTAGTCAGAATGAAATAAGTCACAGGAGCATTTTAAGCAGAGGAATGACTTGATTTATTTTCAAAAGGATTACTCTATCGACTGTGTTGAGAATAGACTATAGTTGGTTCAACTATGGAAGTAAGAAAAGCAGTCAGGAGGCTGTTACAGTAAGCCAGTTACAGTAAGCCTGGAATGATGATGGCCTGGACCATGGCAGCAGTGGTGGAGGTGATAAAGAGTGATTCTATACTGCATTTCTGTGAATGTAAGACCTCACTGATTGAAAGATGGGCCATTATTTTAACACCACTATGGAAGAAAGAAAAGCTGCCACTGAGATTAAGAAACTATGACACGATGCCTCCTGAGCACTTAGAGTTTTTACTTGATAGTTCTTAAGAGATCTACTTTAGATTTGGATTTTTTTTAAGCCATGTATTACTCATACATACAAAAAACCTGAAATAAATTAATAAACTGGTAAATTAAACTGAAATAAAACTTTTCCCCAAACTTCAGTTTCTTTTTATCATTTTGGACTCAATTTCCACATGTCATGGGGCTACCTGCAATACAGCATTTTTAAAAGAACTCACAAAAGAAATAAAATCCATTGGTACTGGACTCTTTTCTCTTAAACAGCTGTATTGTATAAATGACATAGTATTCAACTTTGTGAATTTTTACATATGCATACCCCTGTGAAACCAAACATAACCCTCATCCCAAAAGTTTTCTTGTGCCCTTTATAATCCTTCCCTTGTGCTCTCCTGGCCCTGTCCCCTGGCAACCATTGATCTTTTTGTCACTATAGGTTTCATTACTTTTTCTAGAATTTTGTATAAATGGAATTCTACGATACATACTATTGTCCAAGTGGCTTCTTTCATTCACCACAATTATTTTGAGATTCATTAATATAGTTAGTTTATCATCAGCAGTTTAGTTTATTTTATTGCTGTATAGTAATTCCAGTGTATGGACATACCACAGTTTGCTTATTCATTCACCTGTTGACAGGCATTTGGGTTGTTTTCATTTGGGAGGTCTTATAAATAAAGCTGCTATGAACCTTCATGTACACATTTTTGTATGGACATATGCTTTCATATCTCTTAGGTAAATTCCTGGGAGTTGAATGGCTAGATCATATGGTAGATATATATTTGACATTTTAAGAAACTGCTAGACTTTTTTCCAGAGTAATTTACTTATTTTGCATTTCTACCAGCCATGTGTAAGAGTTTCACTTGCTCCACATTCTTTCCATCACTTGGTACTGTCAGTATTTTTTATTTTAACCATTCTAATTGGTACATAGTAGTATCTCATCATTGTTTTAATTTGCATTTTCCTAATGACTAAGGATGTTGAATATCTTTTCATAGTGTATTAGTCTCCAATTGCCGCTGTATCAAATTGCCACAAACGTAGTGTCTCAAAGCAACACATTTATTATTTTATGGTTCTGGAGGGTCAGAACTCTAAAATGGGTCTTGCTAAGATGAATTCACAATGTTAAACAGAGCTGTGTTCCCT